CCCCCAATCTCCCTCTTTTTTTCCCCCAATCTCCCTCTTTTTTTTCACAAATCTCCCTTTTTTCCCCCCCAAATCTCCCCCTTTTTTCCCAAAGAATATTCCCGGCTTTGATTCCCAAACCCCCACTTCCGGGATGAAAAGCCGGAGCCTCCCGAGGTTTTTGTCGCTCCCCCGGCGGGTGTTTCCCTTCTCCTCCTTCCCGGAGCGGGAATTCCCGAGCCCGGGATGAGCTCCCTCATCCCAAACTTCCCGAACGACCTTTGCCTCCCGCCCCTGCCATTCCCCCTTTTCCCCTCCAGGGTTTTCCGTGGAATGAGGAGCCGAGCCGCCGTTATCCCTCGGGATGAGCCTCCACTGCCCGTTTTCCCAGCCCCTGGAATAATTCGGTGAATTCCAAAGGCTCCCGGGGCCGGGAGAGGCCGGAGCGGAGCTTTGGCCCAGCCGGGATGGGATCGGGATCCGGGATGGGATCGGGAATCCCCTTCCCTCCCATCCCTGGGCGGGATGCCTCTCGGGAAGTCTGGGAGCCGCTTCACACTTTTTAAACAGTTTTTCCCTCTTTTTTTCCATGGTTTTTTTTTTCCCCTCCTCCACGTTCTGGGAACGGCCACGACCCTCCCGCCCCTGTTCGGGATCTTCCTTCCTTCATTTCCCTTTCCCTCCCCTTCTCCCTCGCGCTGTCACAGAGCGGGAATTGGAAAGTCGGGATCATCTCCCCGTTCCCTGGAATCCCCTCTCCCGGGGTTGGGTAAAATCCCAGAGCGTTTTAACCCCCTTTTTTATTATTATTATTTTAAATAAAACCTGGAATTTTGGCTGCTCTCTGATCCCCCTGGAAGCCCCTGGACCGCGTGGCCTCGGCTCTGCTTCCCACCGGGATCCATCTGCGGCCCGCATGGATCATCCGCCGGGATTTTTCCCCCCTTGGGAATGTCCTGCTGGAAGTGGGAACAGCGCCGGTTGTCCCCGGCCAAGGTGGGAAGGTTGGGATTGATGATCCTGGAGGTTGTTTTCCAACCTTAACATTCCTTCTCCGGCCGTTTTCCAGTGCCCCGGTGGCCGCCCCGAAGCTGATTTTTGGGATTTGGGGCTGGAAATGAGGGATGGGGGAATCCATCCCTCCGCCTGCGGCTCCCGGCCGAGGGCTGAGTCGTCAAATCCGGGATTCCGCAGCGTGAGGAAGGGCTGGGAATTACGGCAGGGGTGGAGAGCGGGGGGTTTTCGGGATAATCCCACGGAATTCCGGCTCGGCGTTTTACAGGGATTGGGATGAGGCGCGCAGGGAATGTGACGGGGAGCGGGAAGCGGGTGTTGGGGTCGAGGATGTGCCGAGGGAGGTGACGGTGACAGTGACAGTGACGGTGACAGTGACAGTGACAGTGACGGTGACAGTGACAGTGACAGTGACGGTGACAGTGGCAGTGACAGTGACGGTGACGGTGACGGTGACGGTGACAGTGACAGTGACACCGCCCGGCCCGCGGCTTGTCCCGCTCATCCCGCTTTAAATTCCCGCCCCAAATTCCCTGGAGCCGAGCGAGACCTTCCTCCTCCTCCTCCTCCTCCTCCTCCCTCCTCCTCCCCGGGCCCTCCCCTTGGGGCTGTTTGTCCCCACTTTGGGGACACGGGGGTGGGGAGGGGGACACACTGTCCCGGTGCCACTCCCAGGGGACACCGGGGGACACCGGACCGAGGGGGGGACACTGTCCCAGTGCCACCCCCTGGGGGACACGGGGGGACATCGGACCGAGGGGGGACACACTGTGCCAGTGCCACCCCGGGGACATCGGACGAGGGGGGGGGACACACTGTGCCAGTGCCACCTCTGGGGACACCGGACCGACGGGGGGATACACTGTGCCAGTGCCACCTCTGGGGACACCGGACCGAGGGGGGACACACTGTCCCAGTGCCATCTTTGGGGACACCGGACCGGGGGGGACACACACTGTGCCAGTGCCACCCCGGGGACACCGGACCGGGGGGGGGACACACTGTCCCAGTGCCACCTCTGGGGACACCGGATGAGGGGGGGACACACTGTCCCAGTGCCACCTCTGGGGACACGGGGGAACATCGGACCGGGGAGGGGAGGACACACTGTCCCAGTGCCACCCCGGGGACATCGGACCGACGGGGGGACACACTGTGCCAGTGCCACCCCGGGGACATCGGACCGACGGGGGGACACACTGTCCCAGTGCCACCCCGGGGACACCGGACGAGGGGGGGACACACTGTCCCAGTGCCACCCCGGGGACATCGGACGAGGGGGGGACACACTGTCCCAGTGCCATCTTTGGGGACACCGGACCGGGGGGGACACACACTGTCCCAGTGCCACCCCCCGGGGCCACCAGCGCTCCGGGCTCTGCAGGAGGAGGGGAAGGAGAGGGGACAGTCCCACCGCTCCCGGGGCCGGCGGGGGTGGCACTGTCCCCTCCGCCCGGCAGGTGGCCCCCGCGCCACACCAGTGGCCTCCCAGTCTGCCCAGTACGGCCCTGCCCGGCCCCGCTGTCCCCTGGGTGACAAGTGCCACCCCCAGGAGGGGCCTGGGGGTTGTTTGGAGGGGGCTCAGGGCTTCGGGTGACGTGGGGACAGGGGTTCGGACACCCAGAGGGGTCATCCTGCCCCAGGGACACCTGGACATGTCACCCTGTCCCAGGAATACCCAGGGCTGTCACCCTGTCCCA